GCAATGTTGATGTGAGACTTCCAGTGGCCTCTAGGAGGAATAGTGTAGAATTGTATTAATACTACATCATAGTCAAAAAGGTAGGCAAGCACGTCATTTTTCAAACAACTCCAGTACAAGTTTTAGGGAAGGAGTGAGGCTGGACAGGAATAGGTTTATGAGTTAGGTTAGTCAGATAGATAATGCACCAGTTTAAGACTTAGATGCAACTACTACAAGACTTAGATGCAACTGCTGCAGAGGGGAAATAAAGATAGTCCCCTACTTAAGAACATTCTATTTATGAACATTCCATACATACAAACAAATTTTTTTAAGTACTAAAGTCCAAACAATTGTTTGAAAGATTCTAGCGAACTTCAAATTTCCTGGGCACGAATATAGTTCAAGAGTCTGGTACTGTACAAGGTATGTTGTACTTATTGGGATTTATTTCCAGGTATTCTTAATGTAAACAAACTTTAAAACAATGGGAAAAAAGGTAATGGAGACCCGACTTTCGACATACAAACAAATCAACTTACAAACAGCCTCTCAGTCCCCATTATGTTCTTAAGTTGGGGACTTACTGTATCTACTTGTTTTTGGAAACATTGTTGGAAACAGAGGGTATTGTCAAAGAAAGGGGCTGTAGAGGGAATCATAAAGAATCGATACCATTTAGCTGGGCTAAAATGACTACTTTAAACATTTGCATTGCTTAGGTAGAGCGCTAGCTTTGCAATCGCAAGGTCCTGGGTTCGCGCCCGGCAGCCACCCCTCTCAGTCGACTCAGCTGTGAATGAGTACTGATATGCTGACGTCAGCATGTTGGGGTCAAGGTCAGGACGGAAAATAACTGGCCACCCTACTGCATCATCCCACGGCCTAGTAAGCATGTTTCTCTGCAAACATGTCCCCTACGTTCACATGGACATGGGACCAACTTTGACTTTGACTTGAAAACGTTTGCAGCAGGCAGTAGAAGTATGAGGGTGGGAGGAAGTGGGAGTGGTATAGTGACATAGTACTGTGGGAAGGAAGATAATAAAGATGAAGACTGGTGATAAGAGAGGAGGCGGCTGACAATGAAGAAGACTGAGCAGGAGAAGACAGACCAGAAGATATTGGGAGAAGAAAGGGCGTATTCTGAAGGTCGAGTAATTTTCTGGGTGGATGATTCTGAATGGTTCAAGTTGACGAGCACCGAGGAGGGATTAGCAGTAGGAGCCATGATCAAAGGAGAGCCAGGGTCAGGAACCAGAGAAGTCAATTTCAGTTATGCTAGTTGATGAAGGGTTAGCCCTAATGCCCCTAATAAGGGTACAAAATCTTCATGATTAGCCTTGGTGAATCTGAAATATGTAGGGAAGAGAAACAGTCTACCTCTCATCCCTTTCCCATTGGGATTAGGCTAGACAATTGACCAAGGGAATACTATGCCCACAGCTTCCTGAGGCCATTCAGGACTGACACAAAGCCAGGCTTTCATCCTTTCAGCACAGCTCTTACACCTAAGGAAAAGAACAGAAGGGATTGAAGGAAAGAAAGAAAAGGAAAGGAAAAGAAAAGATCATTCAAAATTAGTCAAAACAAGGACTAAGGCCCATGGTAGGGGGTGATTCTCCATTGTTGGTCCTCAGTCCCTATCTTCTATGCCCCCCCCCCCATAATAAGGAGAATGAGATTGGGGTTCATGCAGTAAAATAAAACTCTAATTGGAGAAAAGTAACACAAAATAGTTCAATGAAACACAAAAAAACACCATCATTGGAAAAAAAACTAATAAAAAATAAAATAAAAATCAAATAAAAAACTCACTTCAGTAATACGTTTCCTGAAGAGACGATCTGGCGCCTGGTTGCCTCTATTGCACTCAGAAATGTCGCCATCGTTTTGAAAAATTCTCAGTTCTACTTTCTTATCTCAAAAAATTTTGCTGAGTCTTCTTTACTATCTTATTAAAATTTCTTTTTCTATTCCTTGTTTAGTTTTCACATACACTAAGATTGAGAAATGAAACTCTTTACTGTGTCATACACCATGGTAAAATTATACCAATTATATGAAAGTATCTGTTAGTAAGTTCTTTAATTACAAGGCAAAATTAAACATTATTAAAACAAAACACATTAGTCACAGAAATACAAAAATATATTTTGCTCTTACCAGTACCAATATATTCTTTAATGCACAAGTATACTTGTAGTGTAGCACTTCTTGTAGTGATACACTTTTTTTTAATACAATATGGCATTAACATTTTTTATAGTACTACATTGATGTATATGCACAATAAAAAAAAACAGATTACATAGGTTATTTGAACTCATATGTAACTATATATCTAACTCCTAGTGAAATGAGTACACAAATAATTATTTACATGCAGCATTATATGTCATAGCATTAAAAGGAGGGGAAAACAAAAGAAAGAAAGAAAAAAAGAAAGAAAGCAAGCAAGATTTTTCCTAGTGTTGCTGTCATATCCCTGATGCTCTTACTTCTGTTGATTTTCTGG